GGCACATGTTGCCCAGAGAGGTGGTGGATGCCCCATCCCTGGAAAGATTTAAGGTCACGGGGCTCGGGGCTCTGAGCAACCTGCTCTAGTTGAAGATGTCCTGCAGGGGGGTTGGACTAGGTGACCCAAACTATTCTATGATTCTATGACATGCCAAGATTATTTTGTAAAATAACAAACACATTTAAAATATGAAATAACTGTAAGGCACTGGTCAATGTGGTATAAATGTTACCACTCTCACCTTGACACTAACTGATGCTATAGCCACTAATATTGCTACCCCAGAAGCCTGTAGCATGTTGACTGCACTATGTCAAAATAAAAAAATTTGCTTTGCCTGTGATGGTTGATTTCCTGTTGCCCAAGACAGTAGTCTGCAGTCCTTATTTTTTTTCCCATTAGGTAGTAGGAGACAAGCATTTTGCTCATCTAAGTTTCATACTTCAGCTAGAATATTTTAAATTCAAGTTAAATTACTCTTTTCTTTTTTAGTTCTTATACGCTTCCTTGATCATTCATATTTCTTTCCTTGGTTCCATTTACAATCTTTTCCCGATGGCCAAGGAACTGTTTATCAGCTTTAAAAAAAAAAAACAACACAAAACCAAAAACTGTTTAAACTTACAGTGAATGGTACATGAAAATATCAGAGAATCCAACAGAAATGCCTGAATTATTGACATTGACTTAAAAGATTCACTTTCTTTTCTTTAGTCTGAGCAGTATCTTCTATTTTATTTGTACTATCTTCCTTGCCTTCCACTAAAAACAATGTCTTGTGTATTGAAAAGGGAAACACACCTAAATACGCAGCTTTCCTTGCCCGCATTTTAGCACTCACTCCGCAAATAAACCATATTGAACACACTACATGCAAGTGAAAGCATGCAAAGAGATTTCGCAACATTACGGCTCGTAACCATCCCAGCTTTCTCCGAGATACACGATAGCAGTAGCATATAAGAAGTAAAGTGTGTATATCCCCGAGTATTTCCTATTAAGGAACTCCTACAGCCTAAGATTTGGCAGGAAATTCTGAGCTCCAGTTTTGACAGCACTGCCAAAAATATTGTAGGGCCAGCATTACACAAGGGAAATAGTGCACATCGTATCAAAGTTCCTCAGCCTTTTCTATGAATTTTGAAAGATATAACCATATCTCATTATATTTTGATACATGTGCACAGGGTGAATTCTGTTGCAGAGGGATACCTCATTAATTCACAGGGAGACTTACAACAAAAGCAGGGACTCTAGTAAGCTGCTTTCCAGCATACTTTTTCACCCCGATTTTAGCATTCTGAGTGAGCTTGCACTGCATCCACCCCCACTGTGCACATGAAAGGCCAGCAGGCTTCATTGAGCAGCTTTATTATCATGCATTAACCTTAACTTCCTCCTGTGGTAGAAGGGCAATTAAGTTTTAACACTCTTGGCCTTCCCAAGGCTTTGTTGAGCAAAAACTGTTAATCACTCCAAGCTACGATAAGTTGACATTCTCCAAAAGACTGCTGCATCTAAATCAATAACTGCAGCTTCAAGAAGCTTTTAGCTCCAGTTCTTAAACATGATTCAGAGTTTCACTGTGAATGCTTGGGCTAAACTCACAGAAGGTGTGCACGGGCATCTAAGAGTAGAACTCAACCCAAGCAGGATTAGTGAATTCACGTTACTTGTTCTTGTACAAACTGCTGGAGCATTCAGAAATGTATGTTCATTACACTTCATATTTCGGTAAAACTGATTATGATGTTCTGGAATAAGGATTGTACATAAAAAGGGTGGGATTTTTTTTGTGAAGCTATTGTTTTATCTCAATTATTTTCCTTCTTTATTCTCCAGATGATGCATACTTACTACAGGGGCTTAATATTGAGGAACTTTATCCAGAGACGTCTAGTTTCATTACGTATGATGGGTCAATGACAATTCCACCCTGCTATGAAACAGCAAGCTGGATAATAATGAACAAACCTGTCTACATAACAAGGATGCAGGTAAAAATAATAAAAAAGTTACTCGATCTGGTATAGGTACAAAAGAGTATTTTAAACATATATATTTGTGGCTTTACATACAAAATCAGATTCAACCTTTTGCTGTAGGGATCTCTGCCTGCAATTTATACCATTTGCAAAAGCATTGAAGAGTTTTTTGCCAAAATGAAAACATTGACTATTTAGAGCTCCCTAAGTATCTATACACACACACACGTACTTTGAGGTAGGCCCTACTTTCAGTGATTTGAACCAAATGGTTTCCGGCGGTCTCTTCAAAACTAAATTATTCTATGGTTCTGTGAATAGAGATATGGGGATTCTAAAACAAATCTAGCAGTGTTGTGCAAAAATAACTGAAGTTTTAAGTATAACAGAGGCCATTCTTAGGTCAGAAAGAAACAGACAAATTGTAAGTGACATTCGTGGCCATTTAAATACACATCAATAGCATGTTAATGTGACAGAGATCCAATATATGGATCAAAAATCAGCCAGTGCTTTCTGGTATAGAATAAGATGACAGGATAGACATTGCAAGTATCTTCAGAAAAATCAGACTGAAAAATTGAAGCCCCTATTAGAAAGAAGCAGGATAAATTATGCAAATGAAAACATGATTAATTTCATAGTCAAAATTATGCTGTTGAGGAAACACACCAGTGGAAAAGCCATAGAGACTACATTTCTGTATGACTCGCTTACAATCCAAGGCCTAACACCAGAAAACACCAGGTTAAACACCAATTGCAGTCTTCTCCAGAGCTTCCATCAATGAGTTGCCTACGGAGCTGTGAGCTGAACTAAAACCTATTCTCTTGCGTACTAGAATCCCGAAGGAATACTTGAACAACCATCTGCCTGTCCCAAGCATGCAGCAGAGCAATCTGGCCTAAGAAATGAAATGAGGAATGATAAGACAACCCTAAAGATTACTTTGGGATTTAAAAATCATATTAACCTTATAAATAAGATGACTTTAAAAAGCCTGAGAGATGTTATATCTTCATGATATTCCTTCTGTCCAATTTTGTCTAGATGCAGAGAAAGCACTTTGTTTCTTTTCTAAATGGGTACTTTGGGAGAATGATGCAGCTGAGCACAGGCAGACATGCTGTACAAACCCTAAAGATTACTTTGGGATTTAAAAATCATATTAACCTTATAAATAAGATGACTTTAAAAAGCCTGAGAGATGTTATATCTTCATGATATTCCTTCTGTCCAATTTTGTCTAGATGCAGAGAAAGCACTTTGTTTCTTTTCTAAATGGGTACTTTGGGAGAATGATGCAGCTGAGCACAGGCAGACATGCTGTACATTCTGAACTTTTCAAGCAGGAGACTCGAACATTTTCCTACAAGCAACATTTTTAGTTACAACATTAATGTGCAAAACAAGGATTAGAATATTTCTGGAGTCTATGCTAGTACCTATGGGTTATAATCTCATGATACTTACTCCTTGTCACGCTTTACTGGTTAGTTACATCCTCCACTATTAGTGCTGCAAACTGATTTCATGGAATACTTACTAATTACATCATGTACTCAGACTGAAAAAGCAACACACAAGTTTTCCCTGGGAGCTGTTAAAGATTTTCAGTATGTAAACCCCAGCTACTGGATTTCCCCATTTAAGCATTAAATGCCACAACCAAACCTCTTAAATTGTACACTGACATGGAAAATATTTTCTTTTTATATTTTTAAACCAAAATATTTTTAGGGTTTCTGATTTACAGATTGCAGCTTTTTTTTTCTCCTCTCTCCAGTTTCCTATACAAAGTTTGAAAGATTTTGGTTGACTTGAACCAATTAACATGCTTTTAGCACAGCTGCATAGTCATCATAAGAACCATTGTCATCTGCTTGTAGTTTGCATCCAACCACTGCGGGGCGCACTGAAAATCCCGAGTGATTCAGTAATTCCCTCTCTGCTGATCCGTAAAACCATCTCAAAAGAAGGCCAGAGTCTACCAGAAGAACACTACAGACACAGTACAGACAGTATCAGGACAGACTTGTCAATGGAGAGAGGATTTTGCTTTTTAACATCATTAATTTCATGACTTCAGCAGCATAACTCTGTCAGTTATCCTTTCCATCCTGACTGGCCATACCTGCTTCTTGAGTACCATCATCCAAAACTCTGTCTTCTCAACTGGAAGCTACACTAATAGCTACAAAACTTAGGAAATTAGTTCTTGTCATTCATCAAGTTCATCTTCTCTGCACCAGCTGCTGCCATCCAGTACTCTGGATTCCATTTGTTTCCTGCTCAGCCAAGGACACCTCATACCATTTTCGTTTACTCCACACAAAACTAGTTACTTTTGTTTAAAATGGGGCTCAGAAACAGAGGACCACAGAAGGAACAGTTTTACCTCGTTAACTCTTTCAACCCACCTCTGACTACAAATCACTGAAATTCTGTTTAACTTTCATTTATTAAGTAGTCTATTTAATAGTGTTGTATGTTGTTTACTTGCAGGAAAGACCAGTACTAAAAATCCTTGTTTTGTATTTTGTATAGATGCATTCTTTACGACTGCTAAGCCAGAATCAGCCATCACAGATATTTCTGAGCATGAGCGACAATTTCAGACCAGTCCAGCCTCTCAACAATCGATGTATCCGAACTAATATCAACTTTAGTTTACAGGGAAAAGATTGTCCAAACAATAGAGCACAGAAACTACAGTATAGAGGTACGTTCTACCTCCAGAATAATCCTTTCTATGCTTACACTGAGCTCTTTTCTTTGAGAAACCCAAGTGCATAACAAAGCGTACAAATAAAAACAAATGAAACTCCAGATCTGGGGGACTAATGGTATGAGTCAAACATTACATATTTGAAATGGATGAGGAAATTTGCCCAGAAACATGCAGGAAAAGCATGACAAAAAACAGTCTGGGACATCTAATATTTTTTTAAAGGCAGATAGGACAGGCCTTCAGTTTTCTAGCCTCATTTTAAAGTCTTCTCACCTTACAAAGTGCATTTTGCTCTGTCTTACCCACCTTGGAAAGAAAAAGGGGGATGAGCTAGTCTTGATGACAGCTGATCTCAAACAAAAGAATAAATTTCACTTTGGAGGTGCGCCACCATAACAAACACCCAAATTGGAAAGTTTTGTATTACACAATGGATATTAAACAAATGAACCAAGCCAGTCTCCTGCTGGTAGAGTCTTACACTGCCACAGCTGGGGGCTCACAACTGAGCTGTAATGTGTCTTATGGATCTTTTAGCCTACGCACACACAGTTGTATTACCTGCAATAATGGTATAAAAGCGCCTTCTTACCAATAATACTATGGTTATGAAGGAATACTACTGAAGGGTGGAAAAGAAAACACATTTTCAGCAACAAGGCTGACGACTGAGTTGCAATACTTCAAAGAAACAGTCATTCAGACTTAATTCTTTTCCAGAAAGAGGAGGAAACTGAACCTCCTGGCTGTTTCAAGACATTTCAAGTTCCTAACACAGTGTTAAATCCAGCCAGTTTCATATTTGGAGTTTATTAAAGCATAATTGTTTTTTGTTTTGTTTCTCTTTCAGTAAATGAATGGCTCCTCAAGTAAGAAAGACAGAGCAGGCAGAACCCATAACCTCAGTGGAATGCGACTACTGTGAATTGACATAATCTAGAATGCACCCAACCTCACTCTCTTTGGGTTCGCGACAGCATGTGCAAACGTGCTGTAGGAAAAGAGCTGCCATGTTGGAAACTCAACTAAAAATTCATTCATATGATCGTTGGTAATTAAAAAAAAAAGTAAAAAGACAGCATTACAGTAAATGTGATTACAATTTTGATACAGTTTTCCTGAACTAATTTAGCTTCACAAAGAAAGACTTTTCAGCCTTTGTACATATGAAATTCTTCCTCTATTTCCCCCTCCCTCAAATTAAAAAAAAAAAAAAAAAAAAAAGAAAAAAGAAAGAAAAAAGGTGGCTCGGTACAGCATCAAAGTGGAGTTGTGTTCTGTGTGCCAAGTAATCCTTGGAAAGCTCTCATTATTTCACTATCATTAATGGATACTGACAAGACAGAACAAGACGACTGTTGAGGAAATTTATTTCTAGGTTATGATCTTTCTGTTCATTTAATTAAAAAAGGGACAGACTTTGAGAGATAAGTATTGTAAATATATCGCTGCAGAATATAAAGGAAATTGAAATATTTCCCTCTGTCACATATCTGTAGTAGGATTTGCCAAAATCAGAATTGATCCATTTTCTGTTTCTTGTTTTACAACAGGTCATACATCGTGTTGGTTACTATTAACAACTCAATAAATGTGTTTAACAAATTAATTTAGTAAACTTGCTTTGATTTATTTTTTTTCCTTTGGGTGTTGGGTTGGTTTTTTGGTGGTTTGGGGGGGTGTGTTTTTTGGTTTTTTTTTTTACTTCATTTGTTTGTTTGCAGCCAATTTAAGTGATGGCAATTGGGAATGCACTTAAAGCTAGTATAACTTCAACTCTATGGTCCATCATTATAATAGGAGCTGGGCTCAGAAGCAGAAAGCAGTTGAAACATATCTCAGTTTAAAATTGCCATTTTCCCTGCTGAATCCATTATGAGGACAAACAAATTAAATCCTGTAAATTGGTGGTGGAAAGGGATATCTTTTCTTTACAGATGAAGCAGGAGCTGACCAAGTAAAAGCAAATGCCTTTTTTCTTGTTTATAATGGTCATTCACTGTGTTTGGTTACTGTCAAGAACTCAATAAATGTGTTTAACAAGTTCACATAGCGCATGTTTGACCTTCTTGCACATTAAGGGATTATTTTTTATTTATTTATTTTATTTTTATCTGGAGAGGGGGCAGACCTATGCTATTCCATTCCTAATGCTCACTTTATAACACTGAACATGTTGAAGTTGTTCACAGAAAATAAGATGCAGCTATAAAGCACCATGCCTGACCAATGAGTTGTTTATACAAAATGGAAAAATAGGCGCTACAAGAAGTGTGAGGGAACTGAACCACTGTAAGAAGTTATAGATGTTGCAGGCCAACTAGCTTTAACATGACAAACACATTATTTCATCTTTGGCTGAAGAGAACAGTGCAGGTAGCATCAGACAGGAAACTCTTGAGTCTGTGTTGCAGACAGCGGTTTGGAAAGATTGCAATTTGTGTGGCTTCATCTGTGACATGAAAGGGAAAGTTATCAGGAAAGTGAAAACACGCACAGGCTGGCATTCAGCGGACTCTCAAAGTAGGTACATGGATGTAGATGGAAACCTGAAAGGAACCCAAAGTTGTCAACAATTAAATTGCTCGGTGAAAGGTGCGGAGAAATCACGAGGGAGAGAGCAGAGGTTGGCCTAGGTGGGCTGTGACACAGTGATGCCGTATTTGTAGCAGGGTTCTGGGCTGATGACCCTGGCCCAGGATCCTATTAGCACATATATAGTACCTGATCCTTAAGTTATTTCATTTTGAGCGTTTCAAATGGCTTCTATATATCAGCTTAACACTGTGCAGTGATCTGAAAAATCCACAACACAACCACAGAAATGTCACACAGTGACTGTTACACTGTAGATTAATATTGTCAAATTCTGCACCTGAAATAAAGCAAAATTATCACCTTAGATTTACCTAGCTAATAAAAAATGAAAAACAACACAAGTCACACACATTTAGTATTTTTGAGTTGCCCTAGTGATCTACAACTTTTAAACTTGAGGTGCTGGGATTGTTTCCACTACTTGTTTGGGTGGTTTGGGGTTTTTTAAGCTTCCCCTATGATTGTTAAGGTTGTAGAGTAAAGTTACTGAGAGCACAAACTCCACAATGCTTCAATCTGTGTTTTTGGACAAATATCTGGCAGTTGTTGATCCAAGTTTGTCACTGACAGAAGGTAGGGAAGATAAGCCAGGCCTCCATTATAAAATTTTTAATAAGTAATAAAAACCTATTTTCTATTTTACTGAAAGCTGATTGAAGGGATTTAAGAGGAGGGAGAGAGATGATAGAAGGGACTAGTCCTAGGAAGGAGTCATGCTGTGCTTCGCATTAGGTGAGGCTGCAATATAGAAGCCCTGCAAATAGAGAAATGGAGCAACCATACTGGGACACCGCAAATGTATTTGTCAACTTTTCCAACTCGATTTTGTGAGCTAATGAACTCCATCTTGCCATGATTTATTTAGGTTTTTGTTTTAATAATAGATTGCAGTAGAAATAGACCAAACCAAAGCTTAGAATTAAATGTCTTGCACATTCTTCACATTTCGGTAGTGCTCAACTCTAGACATCTAAGCTCCAGTTTTTCAGATCAGGCACGTATCTCTCTGTCAAGAGACACTGAGCATCCAAAGAAAGCCACACCTTATCACAAAGCCTTTAAGCAAAAAGATGAAGTTTCAGTACCAACCAGCTGGCACAGAGACAATCTTCCAATGTTCAGAATCTATGCAGCACGGCAACATGTGCACATAGTAATCTCTCCAACTTGAGTGCTTTCTGTCCGCGATGCTCACCAGAAGCCTGGCTGCACACGGAGCTCAATACTCAGTACTTTGTAGTAAGAGCTGAATTTGTGGCCTCAATACTATCCCTGCCCGCACCATTCAGATTATGAGTGAGATTCTTTCCTTGTGATAAGGCACAGTACAGGCATGAGCTACCTGGCAGGGAATATAAACCTGGCAGCGGTCCTCAATGAACAGTCAACACCACAGGCAGCACCAGGTTGCCATGTCATGGTGATAACAGACATTAAGAACCTAATACTGGGAGGAAATGCTCAGATTTGATCTTCTGCTATCACGGTTAAGAATGTGATATCAAACCAGGTACCAAACTTATCAAGCTCATTTGATGATAAAAAGCATGAGAAAATTCAAATTTACAGTACTGTAAAAGCCTCTGTTTCAAGTAGTATTCAAAAAAGTGTAATAGCCAAGCTTTATAAGCTCAGTTTTTCCTTTAATTTAATCAAAGGAAAAATTGTTTTTATACAGAGAATAAGAACTAAATAGGATCTGTGGGATGAAGGCAGAAAGCAGACCTTCAGCATAATTGTACCTATAGATACCATGTATTTCTGTCCTTCCACCATTCTATTCCAGCCTTGAAAGCTAAACCAGCAAGCAAATATCTCAAGGATCTGCCGTGCAGCTTGGATATTTTATTAAAAAACAAATTCCTATGAATCAAAAAACATCCTTTCTCACCATTTAAAACCTCTTACTTTTCTATAAAGTACATACTCTGAAAGAAGGGAAAATGGTGCTGAAAAACTGAGACCTGAGATAAAGGCACTGGCAGCCTCCAGCAAGGCTGGGAACAATTGCACTCGAAGGTGTGCAAGGCTGTACTCCCCTGTACTGATCCAGAAACTCAAACTCAGACAAGCAACTCAATCAAAAAGGTAAGTTGGCCAGCAAAGATCAGAAGAACTTAAAAATCACCCGAATTCATGTTTTTATGCATAGCACTGCTTGCTCTGAGCGTCCATATGCTGTTCTACAACCTGGCCTTAAGAAATGTCAACAGTAACTGCTGCTCAGATGACATTGGTTTGTCAGATACCCGAGACACGGGGGCCTGGCGGCAGTGGGCTGCCAGCAGCCAACATCGTTTTAAGTACTTTGCATCCAACGGTGTTTCGATCTGTAGGACTTTTCAAAACATTTGTTGTAAAACAAAGAAAAAAAACCCTTAGGATAATACTTCAGAATCCTTCCTGCTTCTGACAGACCCTGCCTTTACTCTCCCCATTTTGGTTTTCTGGGGGTTTCACACCTTGCTACTTCCAACACTAGCCTTCCCTTTCAAAATTATAAGCAGCTTTGAGCAATGCAGTAAAGGCTTGCCCCACAGAAACCCAACCCTGCCATAAAAATACAAGAGTTGGCAAGTCTCTTGATATTAACTGTTGCTGGAATCAACATATTTCAGCTGCCATTAAAAAATTTAAAATAATAATACAAAAAGAGCTGCTACATCTATTAATTGGTAAACACAAGCTGGAAAGCAGGATATGATTGCACCCAAAAGACCAAGACCAGAAAGCAAATAAACCCCTGCCAACATTTAAGGTATCCCTTGTGATCTTTAATATTAAGAAGGAGGGGTGTTTAATTTTTTTCTTTTATTTTTTTCAAGTACTCAGGGTTAACAATACTAAAATTCCATCTCAATCTGAAAGTAAAGCTGAAACTTTCCTGAGCTGCTGCTTTCAGGAGCTGAACCTTCCCCAAAAGTCAAGAACTGAAGGGAAAACTGTAACTGATCAGTGTATTTTATTGCAAATACTAGAAATGCAGCAAAAAGGCAGATGTTTTGCATGTTCTGCTGTACATCTCAAAGCTTTGGAACTGGACACTACCCAAAAAATCCCATGTTTGGTTCCTATACTCAAAACAGTATAAATTTTTCAGACAGATCAGCCATAACTGCTCCATGTTTTGTTTGGTTTTTTTTTTTAATTAGATTTTATTCCCTAGATGTAATGGCTGACAAAGCATAGAGAGTTTGCTGTAAGAAACACTGATTTACTAGCAAAAGGCTTACCGCAGTTCTCAACAGCTTATTGTAAAATTACTGTTTGCACGG